TTCTTGAATCAACTTCACCTTCTCAGTAGTCTCACGAATAAGTTCAGGTCCAAGTACCACACTTTCTCCAGATTCATGCCAACATAAAGGAGTTCCACATCTTCGACCATACAACGCTTCAAAAGGTTCCATACCAATACTAGAATGGTAACTGTTATTATAAGTTAACTCTATCAACGAAAGATAAGTATCCCATGAACCTCCCTGCTCAAGAACACATTCCCTCAGCAAGTATTCCAACGATTGAATAGTCCGTTCAGTCTGTCCATCTGTCTGAGGATGATACATTAAACTAAACCTCAACTTAGAACCCAACGCTTCTTGCAAACTCTTCCAAAAATCAGAAGTAAATCTTGGATCTCTATCTGACACAATGCACAAGGGAACACCATGCAACTTCACAATTACATTAGTGTAAATCTCAGCCAACTTCGACACTGGAAAAATGATGTCAATAGGAATAAAATGAGACGACTTTGTAAGCCTATCAACAATCACCCAAATCAAATCGTGTCCTCTTATAGTATTAGGTAACCCCGTCACAAATTCCATCGAAATGCTATCCCATTTCCATTCTGGAACTTCTAACGGTTGCATCAACCCTGCTGGCTTCTGATGTTCAACTTTCGACTTCTGACAAGTCAAACATGCATACACAAACTGAGCCACATCACTCTTCATTCCAGGCCACCAAAACAAACCTTTCAAATCTTGGTACATCTTTGTAGCTCCTGGATGAATACTCAACTTACTTCTATGACTCTCTTCAAGTATCACTTTCTTCATTCGGCATCATCAGGAATATAAATCCGGTTACGAAATCTCAACACACCCTGCGCATCTAGCTTAAAATCACTATTCTCAGACTGATCGATCCCAACCATCGAATCTACCAGTTTCACATCCAACTTCTAAGCTTCTTTGATACTGTATAGAAATTCATTATTAATCTTCAACATACCAAACCTAACACTCCACGGCGTAACCTCACAAACTAAGCTCATATCTCTAAATTGCTCAATTAATTCCAACTCTTTAACCATCATTGCCGACATATGTAAAGTCTTTCGACTCAACACATCAGCTACCATATTCACCTTTCATGGATGATAATTCAAACCGAAATCATAATCCTTTAACAATTCCAACCATCTTCATTGCCTCATATTCAACTCCTTCTGATCAAATAAATACTTTAAGCTCTTATGGTCACTAAACACTTCAAATCTAGAACCATAAAGATAATGCCTCCAAATATTCAACACAAACACAACTGCAACAATCTCTAAATCATGCGTAGGATAGTTCTTCTCATGAGTCCTCAACTGCCTTGACGCATAAGCAACTACCTTATCATTCTGCATAAGCACACCTCCTAAACTCATCTTAAAAGCATCATAATATACCACAAAAGGCTCTCCTGGATTAGGCAACGTCAAAATCGGAGCCGACGTCAACCTCTTCTTCAATTCCGTAAAACTTTCTTCGCAGTGAACATCCCATACAAAATCTCTACCTTTACAAGTAAACTTAGTCAATGGACGTTCCAACTTAGAAAAACCTTCGATAAACCTTCTAATCAGCTAATCAGCTAATCCCAAAAAGCTTCTAATCTCAGTAGCTGACCTCAGAGTTTCTCATTGCAACACAGCATCAACCTTTGATGGATCTACATCAATGCCACTACCTGAGATCACGTAACCAAGAAAACTAACCTCCTTTAACCAGAATTCACACTTGGACAGCTTCACATACAACTTCTTCTCTTTCAAAACTTGAAATACTACTCTTAAGTGTTCTGCATGCTCTTCTTCTGACTTAGAGTAATTCAAAATATCATCAATGAACACCACTACGAACCGATCCAAATAAGTATGAAAGATACGATTCATATATTCCATGAATACTCCCGGCGCATTAGTAACACCGAAAGGCATCACCGAATACTCATAATGTCCATAACGCGTTATGAAAGCCATCTTCTGGATATCTTCATCCTTCACCTTAATCTGATGGTAACCCGACCTCAAATCAATCTTACTAAACACACGAGCATCCACCAATTGGTCCATCAAGTCATCTATTCTTGGAAGCGGGTACTTGTTCTTAATCGTCACTTTATTCAACTGTCTATAATCAACAAAAAGCCTCATACTTCCATCTTTCTTCTTTACTAACAACACTGGAGCTCCCCACGGAGATACACTTGGTCTTACAAACTTCTTTTCAAGTAACTCTTCCAATTGCTTCTTCAACTCTGACAATTCAGATGCAGACATCCTGTATGGTTCCATAGACACAGGTCTGGTACCAGGTACAAGATCAATAGCAAATTCAACTTCCCTCTCTGGGGGTACATCAGGAATTTCATCGGGGAAAACTTCAGGAAATTCACACACCACCTGCAATTCCTTAATTATATCTTGAGTCTCTATAGATAGCGATGCCATAAACGAGAACATCTGTGCTTCTTTTTGCATAAACTTTCTCAACTGTTTAGCAGACAACAGACCATCTTCCTCTTCTTCAGGAGTAGAAAACCTCACAGACTTGTCATAACAGTTAATATGAACATAGTTATGCTCTAACCAGTTCATACCCAAAATCACATCCAAACCTCTTAACAATAAACAAACCAAATCAACAGCAAAGTCTCTGTTGAAGATCGACAAGGGGAACTTTAAACACACAAAAGAAGTAGTCACCGACCCCTTGGCTGGAGTATCGACGACCATTTCTCCATTCAAAGAAGACAACATAAGACCCAATCTTTCAATACAATCAGCAGCAACAAAACAATGAGTAGCACCAATATCAATAATAGTAATTAAAGGAGTACTATTAATGAAACATGTACCTCTGATAAGTCTATCCTCAACAGCTGTCTGATCCTCAACCAAAGCGAACACTTTACCACTTGTCTGCACCCTCTTTGGTTTCTTACACTGGCTACCGATGTGCCCTTCTTTACTACAATTGAAACAAATCACATCCTTATGCTTGCACTCAGATACAACATGTCTGTTCTTACCACAACGGAAACACCTATTTACTTCAGTAGTACACACATTACTCTTATGCCTAAGTTTCCCGCATTTAAAATAAACCACACCAGCAGGAGTATCTCCTCCACTAGTCCTTTGACCCTGAGCAACTTTCTGCTTACCTTTACCAGCTAGGGTATCATAAGGCTTACCACGATTCTGTTGGTACTTACCCCTCCTCTCACTGATAATCTTATAATGGGAATTATTATCCTCTTCATAAATTCTGCAACTGTCAATCAAATCGGAAAAGACACGGATCTTCTGGTATCCAACTACCTTCTTGATCTCTGGGCGCAACCCGTTCTCAAACTTGATACACTTCGAAAACTCAGCATCTGCCTCAGTGTAGTGCAGATAAAACTTAGCCAACTCAGAAAACTTTGTAGCATACTCAACAACCGATATATTCCCTTGCTTCAGCTCAAGGAACTCAATTTCCTTCTTACCACGAACGTCTTCAGGAAAATACTTCCTCAGAAATTCCCTACGGAACACAGCCCAAGTGACATTCTCACCTGCAGCTTCGAACCTTTGACAAGTCTCTACCAGTTATCAGCCTCGACTGCTAGCATATGAGTACCATATCGAACCTTCTGCGCTGGAGTTCAGTCCATCACACGGAATATTCTCTCAATCTCTTTCAACCAATCCAATGCTCCGTCAGGATCATACTTTCCCTTGAACGTGGGCGGATTCTCTCTCTGGAAAGTTGCCAAACTACGAGATCCAGCATTCCCGTCAGCATTCGGCTTATTACATATATATACATTTAAATCAACCAAATTTACACTCCATTTGATAAAAATTGGGTATAAAATTAATAGAGCTTACTATGAATGTCAATAAATAAAGTAAATTAAATATAAATTAAATATATTTTGTATAATTTTAATTTATCAATTAATTAAATCGTTAATTTTATTAAATACTTCAATTATAAATCATCCGCTATCAACTATAAACTATAATTTATTAGTCATCAACCATTAATTATAAATAATAAATTATTAATTAGATTGTATGTCAATAATTATTTTTACTAATGAAAATCAGAGTGTATTATTTAAATAATTTAATTTGAATAAGTGATTTGGTGTTTGTTGATAGATTCAAATTATAATCTTAAAAATGTGAGGTTAAAAATCACACGCTGCCATGTTTGTTTCAAGTTTTAGCCAAATTATATCTAAATATTTGTTTACTTTTAAGAATATAATATATTCATAAAAAATTTAATATGTACTCCCACATTAAATATTAAATAGTGAGATTCTTACATTTTTATGTGAATACAATATTATCAAGTATAACTATTCATATAATATAAATGTGTTTTTTAAATTTAAATAAATAGAATTTTAAAATATTCCTAAAAATCTTAATAAGTTGATGGAAATAAAATTCCTATAAACAACCGTCATAGAAATGATATTTATTCCTGAGATTGTAATTTTATTCTATGAAAGAAACTCACCCATATATAGAAATTTTTATACATACGTTCGATTATTAGTGATCATTCTCTACTAGAAAATATCAGATCATTTATATATTGTATTTTTTTTATTAGAGTATTAGAAAAAAAACAGAGAGCCAACCTCTTGAAAATTGGATTCAACTTAGTTGAGTAGATGCCACGTGGCATCAAATGGAGAAACGGTTTCACGAGTTTGTTATTCTGTTTCACTTTGTTGCAAACTGTCTTTACTTTTGGTGAAATAATCTATTTTCGGCCGTTGATAGCAATTCGAATTCAATGGTGAAAATTGAAGTCACCAAGATTGAAAAAAACGGTTATTTCTGTTATAATTTTCCCGCCTTTAGCTTCAGTTCCGTTACGATATTTCTATTTTAATAACTGCTTGAGCATCCATTCAACTGTTATCAACAAGAATCGATTTTACACCTTTCAATTTCATCTCTCTTTTACTCTAAACAAATCACTCTCCTGCCATGCCTAACTTCATTCCCGGTGGCAGCGATGGCGGGAGAGAATCAGTTATCAAACAACTCAATGCCGCATGTTCTTCACTCATCGCAATCGGTTTCCGTGAGGAGCTGTTTACCCTCAACAATCTCCATAACTACGGCTACACCGAAACTAAATTCCTAGACCTTATCCAACCTATTCCTTTCATCACAGATCTCCGCGCTTTAAGATTTCTTTTCAACACAGCTCGTCAATCGTTGTATCATCTTTCCGTCACACCTCCTCCGAATGAGTTCTGCGATTTTGTCAACTGCATCAACTGGATAAAAAGTGAGTTATCAGATAGAATGCAAAAGGGGGAAATATCAAAAGTTGATATTGCCATAGCAAGAAAGCTCGTTGACTCTGCTGCTCCTCTTATGAAAGAACGCAAACGCTTTCAGAGCGCGATCGATGAATTGAAGAAGCGTCAAATGATGCTGGAGACAGAATCTGCAAGAATCAGTGGTGAGTTGAAGTTAAAGTTAGGTCCTATTTATGAATATGAAGAGCCTTCCATAGCTGAATTGAGAATTGAGTGTTATCATCTTTATGAAAAGGATTGTAGATTTAGGGGGATACCTTTCATCCCTACACTTGATGAGATGGAATGTGAGAATTTGGTGGCTGTGTTTGGTGGCACTGCGAAGGAACGTCACTTCATTAATTTCTTGAACGATCCTGTTAGGAAAGAGCTCATTGAAACTTACTTTAATGGCATACTGTTTAAGGGGTAAGCTGCTATGGGTGGTGGTGATGGTTATTAGAACTTTGTGGAGGATCTTTGAATTAAACATATGCCAGCTCTCAAGTGAAAAGCTTCTCAGTTGATTCTGAAATAAATTACACACATTAAATGCATGCATTCAATATGGTACTGATTTTCATTCTTATCATGTGTTTTTTGTATTTCATTCTCATAATTTGTTTTTACTATAATCCTAAAATAACACAAGATTATCATCAACTTAGGCTTCTCTATCTTACTCTCTAATCTTTGACCACCAAAACAAAACATAGACATGATTAAGTTTGATTATGAAAAATATTTAGATTTACCACCTACTGCTTTATTGAAGTAATTGTATAACAAAAACTTTGGTAAGTGTAATTCCCTGAGTTTAAATAGAAAACGTAATCAAATACAAAATAAATAAAATATGAATTTAATAGGAAAAAAAAACATTTAATCTCTTTGTCTTCTCAAAAAACATTGTCATATACAATCAAATAAAAGATAAAATGTACGTGTTTACAATTTTAACCCTAACAATGGATGTAAAAATTTAGCACAAATTTAAGTATTGTTAGTGCGTTTAAGACTTCACACTCCAATACTTAGAGCAATCTATGTGGAATTTATAAAGAAAATGTTCATCATCAATCATAGTTAGATTTTGACGAAGACAATAGGTTTTTTAGAAGGAAGATTAAAGAAGAAAAGATTAGATTAAAATTTTTGCATAAATTTTGGATTTCAATAGAATTGGATCCTAGACCAAAATACAATGTTTTAATTCATGATTTATAAGCGTTAGATGCTCACAACTTTCATCTCATATTTTCTAAAGTTTGACATAATATTTTTACATTGTTTCCTTCCTTTTTGTCAAATAATTTTCGACATAATTGAGAAAGTAATTTTGTTTCTCTCATGAGTAAATTGGTTTATCTAATGTATTTTACAAGAGGAAAATATGTTTCTCTCCCTGGTAAACTTATTTACCTAGTGTATTTTTCAAAAGGAAAATATATTTCCCTCTCTAGTAAACTTGTTTACCTAATGTATTTTTCAAAACTATTATACGTTGCACAATAAGGAAATATGTTTCCCTCTTTTGGTAAATCGATTTATCGTTGTTTCTCTTTGAAAAATGCTGAACCAATGCATCACCTCTTCATCTCTAAAAATCATAAAAAATTTCATAATTATTGCATTTGATCATAATCATTTTTCGGACATTGTTTATGAAAATTCAAGAGGTTCATGGGATTTTTAAAATTCAAAACACCTTTTTCATGAACAATTTTGTTTGTTTTGAGTATCAGTAAATATTTTGACAGAAAAACTTTTTTTTACATAATTTTCAAATCATATATGAAAAAGTCTTGAGCAGTTAAATGTTTCAGAAAAAAAAAACAAAGTTATCAAATTACCAAAGTTGCTGCAAAGTCTGCTTATTACAAAATATTTGTTTATCTAAAACTTTTTATCAAGTATGTGGTGATTTTTTATCTTTTAGAAAATATTGTACTTATTGTACGTTGTTGCAGCAAATATTAAAGATTGTTTTTCTATTTATTAGAAAAGTCCTTTGAATCGAGGTGATCAAAATCCACCATTGTTGGAAATTAAGGAAGTGACTTGCTTCTTTGTTGCTGTTAGAAATTGTAGGAGAAGCATTGGTGTGAGTTATACAAAGATCTAACGGAATATGAGGTGACTAAATATACCCTTAGTTGATAAGAAAAACTAATAGAATTTCTCGAGTTCATTTAGTTTACTGCACTTTACTTTTTTATTTATCATTCGTTCATTGTTCATAATTTCGAAAAATCTCAAGAAAACAGAAAAATATTATAAATCTCTAAAAACATCTTTAAATCTAATTCATCCCTCTTAAATTCTGCACTAAAAACTTACACTGTTTTTTTAAATCTAACATAATCGTTCCTGCTTCTTGTCATAATATGATGGGATTAGTTGGTATTTTTCGCTCTTTCCTTCTAAAATATGGGGTCTACCATTGTAAGAGGTAACGTCCTATGAATCGATGTTGCATAGTTATTCCCTAGGAACCATAACTGCCCATTATGAGTGGAAGTTTTGAATGATGTAAACCTTGATGACATGGTACCTAGTCATTAGTTTGTACATATTCTCGTGAATCTCTGATTAAGATAAGTTTGGCATAAATTGGTCTTTTCACGGTTGTTGAAATATTTTGTAACACCTAAAAAATAACATATAAAAAAAAGCATTTAACAAATTCAAATTAAACTAAAAATACATACAATGGCGAACTATCATAACATGGACACGATGGGTCAGTGGCCTCAATGTAAGCCATTTTCCCGTGCATATAACAACTCACATGATACGATCACTACCAGCTTATGTCGTCTTTAAATACACATACTTAACATGAGTTAGTAGATGGTTCAACTCCAATATTAGAGGTTTTAAATAGGAAGGATGTTTCCCTTTGGCATATGAGCCATGATCTCCAACGTCTCAAGTTTTTTATCTAAGCCTACATTTAATGGCTTTGGTGGAGATCAACATGTAACACTTTCTTCCATTAATTCCTTATCATCAACCGAAGATAATTCTTTGTTAAATTCATAATGATCTTTCAAGAATTGTTTTTGAACTAATAAATCTTAACTTGTAATTAGTGAACAATCCACCAACTTCATCGGGATATTTTAATGCATTGAGTATGTTAAAACAACTTTGTGGGTATTCATTCTTATGGTGAGTTTTTTTTTTCTAAATATCAATGAGTCTTTTCATGTGACTAGGAATGATCTTCTCAATAAAATGAGAGTCTCGTCATCAATCATGAAGTCAATTATTATGAAGTAAATTGTAAAATTCTGGCACTGCAACACAGATGTCAAGACTGATGTCTTAACAACACACAATATTATGATAGATGTTATAACATCTACTGATAGTAAAAAACTGACTTGCTAAAAACAGAAGGTTGTGCAGAATTTTTTTTACACAAACCTAAAGAACACAATCAATTGTTAATCTAGTTCGTAGCAACTCGCATATTTTGGGGGCTACCAAGCCAAGAAAGAAATCCACTATTAGTAATATCAATTTGAAGCTAAACAATCCCAGTTTACAACTTCTCGCTTAATCTCTATCCAGCATAACTTCTACCTAAGAACCTCTTAGATATGAGAACCCCTCTCACTCCCAATCACCGCAGTGATATCTACAGCCACAACCCCAGTGACTAGAAAAGAAAATAAGAAGATTACACTTCCAATAAACAATACTAAGTTTTACTTAAAAGATTAAATAAGAACAATACTTAATTCTTTGCTTAAAAACATAAAGGAGAATAATAACTTGATAAATAAGTAACAATCAGTCAACTTAAATGAATCAAAAGATACATGAGGACATGCAAAAATACACGGAGTATCTAAGGAACTCTCAAACCCTAAACCCTTATTTGCACACGATTTTACAATAAAAACAATGCTTAAAAAACTAGGTATAGTGACTCTCCTTAAATAGTCTTCTGCAATTGGGCTTGACTTGGCTTGGACTCTTTAATCAAATTCAATCTTCAACTGAAAATCCGTGTAGAATCTTCTCCATAGTAATAGGAACAAATCTTCAAAAGTTTCCTAAAAAGTTTCAAAGATCTTTTTTATGAAACAAATCAAATCTGCACATGTTCCTAAAAAATCCTTGATTGCCTGCACATGTATGAGTACTATAATATTTCAGTAACTCATATTTTTCAATCAAATCTTCAAATAAGCACTAGCAGACTCTGTTGTACAAGCTGGTTAAGATGTTATGACATCTTGATTAGTGCTAAATTGTTGTAAATTTGAGTGTGAATAATTAGCATTCATTGGCTTTATTCTTTTGCCTTTTTCCAATAAACCTCAACTTTAGTGTATATTCAGTATAGTTTATGTTATAATGTATTTATTGCATTATTGTGTAAATATCATTGAGTTTAATTGATTTTATCTCATTTTTGTAGGTATTCAAGCATTGATATTTAGGCATTATTAGATAGAGAATTGAATAAGCTTTCCAATGCTTCGAATCGGGCGCGAATTAGAGTTACGGTTCAAAAGTTATGGCCGAAACAATGCATAATGTTGTGCTGATTTTTCAATTTCTGTCATCCGTCGTCAGGCGACGCTTTTTGGTCATCCAGCAATGTTAGGCGAGTTGAAGCATGGGAATAATGTTGTTTTGGTCGCCGGGCGACGCTTTTTAGTCGTTGGGCGATGCTGGACAATCAGAAATACGTATTTAGGTGTAAAAACACATTTTTTGGGTATGGTTTTGCGTATTTTTGACCCCAACTGCATCAAACTTCATTCTTTGATAGGATTAGCTTAGAAAACAACATTGAAGCTTGCATACGGAGGATCCGGAGTGGATTGCTAACAACCGACGCTGACAAACCGGTAGATTTGTGGTTCATTTCTCTTCCTCTTTGTGTATTCTTTATGTGTTGAGTTTGTACATGTATTTACTCTGAACTTACGTATATTTTTCGCCCATGACGTTATACTCAACTTGTTTTACAAATCTTTGTCGATTATTATCTTAGATTTTTACTCTGTGCTAGGAATTTGAGTTGTTATAGACATATACTGCTTAGATTCTTATCTAGGATGATTATATGTTAGTTTCTGAACTCTAGAGATATATTTAGAGCTAACATCTACTTGGGTGTCAGAGCTTAATGCCTCTGTGTGGTTGTGCTGTACTGAGAGATCATCAGTGCGATTACATAGTTGTCTTCTGTGTTATTGAGAAGGTAGAGAAATCATTTCCTTGGTGATACAGTCAGTCTCTCAATTTGGGTTAGAAATGACTTAGGTTATGAGTGATACATAGTGACATTGATGAGTATTGTTAGGTTGAGTGTAATTGGTCGATAGATTTAAGTCTGTGATGAGTAGATTATATGCAGGCTTGATAAGTTCTTCCTTAGTTTTAACTTTTGTTTACATTTATTTTTTG